GATCGATCAGTGAATAACAACTAAGTACTAAAACTTAACAGCAATCATCTATATACAACTAGGAAAATCTGCATAAGAATTATTTTTCTAAGAGTAAAAACCACACTGTGGTGTGCATCAGAAACAGAAGATACACCGTGGAGTCAAGTAGTAATGAGCACCTGGTGCACTGGAGATGTATTAATATGGTTGTACAGTTGTCACTTAAAATCACCTACACACTCTTCCACCTAACTTCAATCATAAATAATCTCTCCCCTCGTAATAACGGTAACAACCAACAATGAATAATATCTGCCTGTAAAACTACAAGAAAATGTAATTGACAATTTCTTTACATAATCAATAGGACTATTGATTAAGGACTTAATATGAATGAAGTTTCTAAAAGGTGTTGTAAGAATGAGAACAATGCGTTGAAAATAATACGTGTCAATGAAAGTTAAGTACAATTTAATCACTATTAATTAGGTCAACTATTTCCAATAACTTTGAAACACATGTATGGATTCAACATGATCAATCTACTGTCTTTAATATACCAAGAGGAAGATTTCTAGAATTTGGACAATACTATTACGCAGGATGACAGAAAGTGAGAAAATAAACAAACGCTTCTTACGAAACGGGTTCACTTCGTGGGACTACACGTACAGTTAGGAGGACTTTAACTTGAATCATGTTATAAGTGTAAATAGAATGAATGAAGTGCGTCGGTGGCACAGAGGTAGAATGCTCGCCAACCACGCAGGTGGTTTGCGGTTTGATCCCCGGCCACAAACGCACACCTTTACCTCGCTAAGCCAGTAATAAATCTGGTAAAGAGGGAAGGTTGGACATGAGGCTAGCAATCCAATCCCGTAAAAATAAATACCACTGCTGCCGAAACTTCGAAGCTCTAGCTTGAAGCCCTATGTTCCACTGGGAACGTCAGGGAATAAAAAATGAATAAACGAATTACCGCATTTCGACATATTTTTTAGCCAGATATCATTTTGATGTAAAAGCAAATCAGTTGCCATGAGCGAGTGATGCGCTTCAACTGGTACGTTGTTCAGAGTAAAAACTTCACTCCACCGAAATGGACTCTCTCTCTCTTCTGCATAGCAGCATGAGCTGTTTCACACTCTACAAACTCACAATCTGATACATATACTTATTCTTAGAAGCTGAATGACACTACTCACAACAGCATAATCCATTTTTGATTTTAAAAAAGTGACTCAATTTAACTGCCTATTTCTTCCATAATTTAATAGATACAAGTAAAGATGAATTTATGCAACTTGAAGACCATGTACAAATTCGCGTCCTCAGTAATAAGCCGTACATAGTGTGAAGGGCAATGAAACAGACTGACTGCTCTTATCTCCTTATCTGCAGAGGATTCAGTATCAATAACTAGTATTTAATCAACTATATAATCGAGATTTCCATTATCTTGCAAATGAACATTTAATTACTAGTCTAGTATATTATCAAAAGAATAAAAAAAGCACATCCTAGTAACTAATCCCATAAAATACTAATGTTAACATGATCAATTCAAGACAGAATTCATCAACATTACTTGTAACTCCTCGGAATCTTACCCGAAGTAAGTCCGTGCTGACAACAAGTGCTTAACATTACTAAAGATAATGAACAATTAAAACATTATACAAAATACTGTGAGATTTCCAATCGGCAGAATGCGACAACACACCAAGTTGGCCACAACGCTTCAAAAGTTACCACTGAAGATGACATCACGACCTCTACCTCTCGACTGCTAACAATTTACGGTTAGCCAATTCGGCTTTTTCCATACAAAAAACAATCTCATGAGTAAACACAGATCATGAGGCGTAGATGTCGAAACAATTGAAAGGTGGAAGACAATTTTAACTATACCAAGTTATATTACTTTCTACATTCAGATGATTTCGGTTTATTGAGAGTCCCATATACGCGAATCGACTGATCAACTAATTAATGATATAGTTACGGAATAGTGAATTGTTTTAGTGTCGTGATTAATTCAACCAGGTAAATTTGTCTGGATATAAGCACTCCCCAGTTAGTGAAAAATGAATCGAAGATAAAAGGATTCGGGGTATGATCATTTATGAACTACATTTATTTCTATGAATATGAAGGGAAGCTTTCTTTTCAGGTGTCAAATAAACAAACCGAATGGTTTGGCTGAAAACTAGCAAAGAACAGATTAGTCGTCAATGGGTCTCATCACTGAGTGACTTCAGTACGTTTGCGAAAAAAATTAATTTTAGTTCTCTTCCTTTATAAGCATCATGTTTATCAGCTTTGGGAGTTAGTTACCTCACCGTGGAATACAATCCACTCATCTTATATTAGTTAACCACCTTGCTTCACTTTGTTGCGTAATATTACTGTTATTAATTTCACATGGATAAATCCTATGAACGACTAGGCATATTAAATAACTTATAGGGTCATTGCACAATATCTTAATATGGTCATTAATATTTTTATCCTAATTAAAATCATGGAAAGGGGTTACGCTCACTGAATATCTTGTTTTTGAGGTCACTATCGGAATCAATAAACTATATTGTACCACATTTCACCTACTCCCAATAAAACCATTAACAAAATAATGGATGCTTTGTAATCTCCTGTTGTTGATTTAAATGCACCAAACCAATTAGTGTGTACCATAAGATCTTAGAACATATTTCACAAGTTAAATTTGTGCTTGATTTGCTCAATGGCAGAGTGCGGTAAGATCAGAGACTAGTCTCTTGCCCTATTTGAAATTCATCAGCAGTAATTACATGCACTACAATTACATTTTTTTCTGTGGAATTTCAACTTACTACGCATCTTTTACAAACATGGAGACAATCAAGCAGATTACTGAGCCACGTAAGCTACACTCTAACCCTTAATTCAATTTCATTGTTCCAGAACCATTCTGATATAAAAATGACATATCTTTGTGGTTATTAAATTCAGAAGTATTTAATCACTCTTTGCAATCATTTCAGTGATAGGATTTAACTTTTAGCTTTGATTTTGAAGCAAGCTGGATTTGTGATTGAATATGACATCGCTTAGTCTGTGAAATATCCTCCATAGATCGAAGGCGTTACACATGTGTTTGAATAGAGCTAAGAACAACGAATAAATTTACCTGGTAGACAACTGCCTATGATAAAAATAACTAATTTTTCCTTCATGTTCCCAGTGGAACATAGGGCTTCAAGCTAGCGGCTTGAAGTTTCTGTAGCAGTGTTTATTTTTACAGGATGGGGTCGCTAGCCTCATGCCCAATCTTTCCTCTTTACCAGCATTATTTCTGGTTTAGCGAGGTTAAGGAGTGCGTCGGCCGGGGATCGGACCCTGGACCATGTGCATGGTCGACGAGCGTCCTAACCGCTGCGCCACCGATGCAGTTTTATTCAAAAGGATTTAGAAAGCAAAATATTAGACTTCTACAATTATATCACTCTAGATAGATATTTTTTGTTTCTGCGGAATTCAGTAGTTTTGATTACACTTCATAATATGCTTTATACAATCAAACTTTCTTGACTATTCCCGACACGAGGTTTTATTATCATTCAGGCATACTGAGTTAAGATGAAACCTCGTACAGAAATATTATTCACAATTCAACTTCTGTAGCCAACCAATTAGGCAAAATCACTTTCAACTTTCTTCATTGATATGTGTAAGATGAAATACCAAAGGGTAGCTTCCTGTTCACTTTTACCACATAACAGACTAATTTTAGGTATCGTAAATTGAAAACCCAAAATATAGTATTCACATGGTAATAGAATACTAGGAATCAAGTCCTTTTAAAATCCAATGGTCTGTTCACGTTTACACGCCAAAAATTACCACTGAATATTTAAGCTCAGGCTTTTCTTGAGATATTGATCATGAAACCAAATTGAACAGAATATATGCGCAAATTACAGCATTCAACCTTTATGGAGAGAGATTAAATTCCAATCTAAATATTGTCTACCCAACAGACCCATAACGCTAATCCTTAAATAAAAGGCTTCAATAACAGTCTTACTTGCATATCCGGATTACTACAATATTGTTAAGTTTAGTGTCTTGCACAACACACATCGATCAGTACAGTTAGCTATGCTCAGTCAGTCATAACTGAAGCTAATTGATTATTTTACTTGATCAACATAAACAGGGCAGTCAGTATTTTATGTGACAAATGCTAAAAGGTTTAACATTCGAAGATGAAACGTATCCAAACAACGTGAAATTATTAAAACAGATAACCAAAAAGATGTGCTTCACAGAATTACATTTCTAATACTTACATTGAAATACAACTTTACAGGAAAATAACCAGTAAGTATTTCGCACCCTTAATATGTTTTTAACGTTTTTAGTGTCTTTAGGCATACAGAGTATCATTCATCCAACAGTGACTATTTTTAAGTGCTTTAACTTAGTCGATTGTGAATACATATTACAAGCCTCACTCGCGTCAGAAAGCATGATCTTCATTGGGAATTTCAAAAGTCCCTATGGAAAAGCACTAACGATAACCGAGATAACGAGAAATAATAGTTTCGGAAATCATACATTGAAACTTTGATGAGTAACACGCAGACTGATCATTTATCAGTACAAAGAAGACAAATTTTCACTTGAATGTGGCAACTGTCGAACAGACACACACACACACTACCATAAAGTTATTTTCAGAATGCACAACTCAGAACATCATAAGTAATTACCCATGATAGTTGATCAAACCTTAATAGGTGGTGTAGCACAAGACAGATTGACGAATTTTAATTTTCATAACGTTAGATAGAACTGAGGGTATAGTAGTGTGCTGGCTAAATCATTCAAAATGTATAGGATTATGAGTGAAATAGTATTTGGATACATTGTTCTAATCTATTTGAATAGTCTCCGCAAATATCACTAACTGTCAGTCTTAGATAGCATAAAACATTCACAACTACGACAAACAAACAATTACGAGGACTTACACTTGCAGCAGGTTGCTCGGTGACAACTTCTTCCATAATTTGTGTGGCACACTTGCAGTTAACTAAGAGGACTAGGAAATATCGTAGACGATTGCTAAAGCACACGTTCACAGGTGAAAATTTACAGTTAACCTTTATATATATATATATATATATATATATATAATCAGATTTTATAAGGTTCCCCTGTTGTCACTATAATACATACTGAAATAAAGAAAACGATTGGTTAGGGAAAGTAGGTCATGATTGGTCATAGAATAAATATCGGAATTCAATGTCAATAAGATATGTACTGTGGAGAAAACTAAAAATAAATGTTGTTAAAGGGGTCAACACATGAACAGTCTTTTCGAGGGAATGTTTTTTTAACAAGAAAAAATTCCAAACCAATTCGTAAGAATTGTTAAAAAAATAGTTTATGTGGAAGAAGTTGATGAAAGCCAACAGTTTATAGCATACAATGTTCCTAGAGTTACACCACTAGGTTGACAATGAGATTCAGATTTTAAAATGTGTTCAGAAGAAATAGACGGATTTCGACTTGATGTTAATCCACATATAAGTTGATTTGCAGGTATCGATTGCCATTCTGTGGAATATATGCTCCAATACCTAATTATGATAACAATAACAACAGATTCATATTATAAATATATTGTATATAATTAAATGGTTTACAAATACATACTTATATTAAGAAAACAATTTCGAATAATATCACGCTTTCCTGACATTCTAACTTCAATAAACTATTAATGTATATTTAGACGATATCGTTAAAAAATTAAAGTGATCTGAATGAACAGCGATGGAAATATAGATGAGGCCAATATTTGATGGACTACTACGGTTAGAGACTTCGGGGTTCGCTGTTGTATTTTAGATATTACTAAAACACAGACTTGGTACATTATGAGCACCAAGAGATGAGACCCAGAATATCATAGTTTATGCGAGGGCTGCGACGTCGCTCGGACGCCCAAAATAAAGTAGGCGGTTGTCTTAAAGGGTCACTCCTGAGTCTTAGTGAAGCAGCGTTCCCATGGTGGGTGGTGACCGAGACAGGTCCTACGCTATTTGATCCGTTCGAATTCTGCAGCTCATGAACACCATATGCTTGGAAACAGGGCTTTCTATGCCACCAATGTAGACTAGCATGTCCACCAGTCCGGTTATAGGTGCCAGATGCTTGCATTCACCCTTTTACTCTTGTGAAGAACAACCCTGCCGCGTGAATGCAGATAATGGGACTTCAAATTTTGATTCAATTCGCTGTATGGTCAGGCAAATCTTATTTAGAAGTTCCATATCTCAGTGGGTGAATGTTGACAAAATAGTTTCACGTCAATTTTTTTATTTGGTAAACCACACAGAAATACAGCATTATTTACTGAGTGGTGTTTTGAGCACAGCTTATTGCCCCTTATCACATCAAATTAACACCACACTTTGCTTCCTGTGCAAATCAAATGCCTAGTTAATCCAGCTTCACGTCTAGGAGAATTTTCAAATCATTCTGGTTGCAGGTATTCAGTTTTGATTAGATAATTTATCAATTACCACGTTATGATTATGAGGCGAAGTACATGGGTCAAAGCAGTCGTTCGGCATCAGTTAGACTATTTGAGTACGAAAATTTAGCTAAATACAAACCGACAAAACCTAGTAAAATATGTAATCTAGAGGAAATCTCGGTACTCAATGACCTATAATCACATTATCGGAGGACAAAACGAGTAAGTTCTAAAATTCAGTAGAGTTAAGAGAGAGAGAGAGAGAATGATTACTGAATATTGGTTTATCGAATCAACACCTAATGCATACAAGCATTATAGTTCAACACATATTAAAAAATTCCACTACCAATAAGAATGAAAGAACAAGGGACATAAAGTGAAATTTAAAGTTGTCTTAATATTTGGACACTAGATTGGGAGAAGTAAACTGTGTTAAAAACACCATCAAGTAATGATATATCACTGTGCGCTCATCCAAATAAACAATATGCTGCAGGTCTCTGGACAGTGTTACTGCTGGGGAGAAGCGATAGGTGTTTCCCTCAGATGACCAGCACGCCAGCTCTCCTGTCTCTCCACTCTGGAGTGAGAACGTTAGAAAATGTCGACCCCAGGCGGTGGTACGTAGACGGCAGTAAGTCATTATTATTGTTTCCTTTAATTCCTAGAGGAACATAGGGTTTTAGCCACGCGTCTTCATTGCGTTCGGTTCTCTGCTAGAGTTTTCCCCTGGCTCCAAGTCTGCCCACATGCTTTCATCTCCTCTTCACATGACCTCCTCCAAGTCACCCTTGGACGACCAACTCGCCGGCAGTAAGTTACGAATTCGAAATCAAACTATAAGATGTGTGTGACTAGCCTCAACGTTATCCATTGGGATCTGCAGTCAAGCAACACCAATACTCTCTCCCTTTCCAGGTACCCCAAGAAAAAATCAACTTCAACAGTGTGGGAAGATGGCAAGTAACAGCCGACTACACACTTCCAAAAGCACACGAAACCATCCTGATCATATATATATATATATATATATATATATATATATATATATATATATATATATATATATATATATATATATATATATATATATAGGACCAACTAGGAAACTTTACAATAACTGTATTTTGCGCATGGTTTATGTTTCATATCACGGAAACTCGAAGACTTACAAGCGGTAACCAACAATTTGGTATGATGGATAACGAAATTCACTTCTCTGAAGTGTGTTGTGAACATCCACAAAACTAGCACACGGAAAAAGACGCGAATTCATAACAGTTGTGTCAAGCCAGAGCTAGAACGTGATTCAGTGACTAAGTGAGCATGTCACGGGAGGTATTCGCATCAGGCTACTGTAAACTTCCACAAACAGCCGTCTTCGTTGCCTTCGTTAAGTATGCTGATGATCTGATTTCTTCTATGCCTGTTACTTCTCAGTAAGACTGTTGCAAAATGAATAACTTTTAGCAGAAATTAGTCATTGGTCCTTGTTGACTGTTTTAAAGCTTAATCCCTCCAAATGTTAGGAGGTTAATTTCCCCTTCAGACATAAGCGCAACTTACGTGAACTGGTTAATTCACACGTTCCACTGTCATAGATGTCTTTGAATTTGAAACTGAATCGAAGGTTAAGTACCTTGGACTGTGTATCTCCTCTGGTCTTTCCTATTCTTCCCATATCATGTTAATTTTCAGAAAGATATTTCGTTTAACGTTTTACGTAAGGACGTCGGGACGATCTGGTATCATTGCGTCTCTACTGTTACAGTATGTTAATTCTGCTATTCTGCCTATACTTCTCTAGTGTTCCCCTTTAATCTTTTCCGGGTTACCTAAGAAAGACTTTGTTATACTTCGAGGGGCCCTAAAAGCCGTCAGTAGGGAGATGGGGGAGTTACTGAATCAACTCGTTAATACTACTACAAATAGACACATGGACTCATGCAAGAAATAAGCAAATATTATCTTGTCAGACTCTGAGCCTCCTCTCTATACACAAGTCCCTCCTTGCATCTCATCGGGTAGAAGTAAAAGCGACTTAGTATAAAAACTCTACAATAGCTTACTTAGCACATATTTTATGTGATGAGGAAGCTGCTAGGCAGGAAATTACTAACTTCCTGTGGCACTCTAGGTGAACTGCCCTATTTTTGATCTGTTCCATTGGTTTTAATATTTTCACTTAATTTTTTTTCATTTCCTTATTGAACAATATTATCAATGTAAATGCCCTGTTTTAATTATTATCCATGTGATGAGAAAGTTAGATGCAATACTGTATTACTACATGCTGAAAATTCCATATTTGTGCCAAAAGTACCGTTTGGAACAAAGCTACCATTATTATACTGAAGATCACATAGCTGGTCAGAATATATAAGCAGCGGTTCTGGTAGGGAACAACCTGAGAACCTATTGCACGAGCAAATGAAGATAGAATAAGGCACACGTTGAAAATACATTTAAGTGATATTACACTCAAGGCTGTCGAATGGAGCTTCAATGAGGGGGGTGACAGGCCGGGCTTGCAATAGAGGCGTACGGGAGGTCACGTGAAGAGGATATGAAGGCTTGTGTGCAACTGTGCATCCAAATGGAAGGACATAATGGAATCCAGATGAACCGCTGAAGCCCTGTGTCCTATTTGGAACGCGATGGAATTATTATTATAACAACAATTAAAAGCTTATGTAGGAGAAATAATACAACCATACAGAAACATTTACCAAATCGGTGTTTGGTCCTTATCAATTTCGATAGTGGTCGGCATAGTTGACAACTCCGGATAAGAATGCTCCGAAAAACTAGTTATAGGCTGATTTTGGAAATATTTCTCGAATGCTATCCAGTCTTCACTTAATTTAGTAAGGACAGATCTTGGAAGCCAAACAACTGCAGATACTTCATCAGCTTCTAAACCAAAGTGTGGTAGACACAAGCGATTATCTTTAAAAGTTGAATTTGACCTGTAGACCACAAAAAGAAAATAGTAGTGAGGGGCAGAATTTGTAGTCAACAGCATAATTCATTTTTCAGTAAACTTTTAATCTAAAACAAATTAAAGCAACCAAGAAGTAGATGTAACCAGTCATCCTATAATACAAACTCTTTAACAGTCCACCTGAGGTGTTAACTACTGTTTTCGTATCATTTTCAGTGCATTGGACAAATTAACAGACTTAGTTATAAGGAGTTCACTGCATGTGGGACTTTCGAAGCAGACCAGGTTATTCTGCTTTATAAATGATTCACTGGAATAATTAGCTCAAGTCACACTTCACATCAGAATAGTTTTCCGAATAGTGTGTACACTGAAGTTATTTTTAAACCACAATTACGAAAAAATAAGATTTGTTACAACTAATAAGTGATTCACTTAACGAATCAACAAATATAAATAAATTGAGGAATTCAAGCCAGAGAATTTTGTATATTAATTAGTAGTGGCGCTAAAGTCATGGAAACTCACAACATGTCTGTCTGTTTTCGACATAGAACTTTGCACCGATGTGCAGCAGTTAAATTCGCCACACTCCATGTAGCACACAAAGCAAGAGAAGAAAGTAGAAGAAATGCATATAAGAGACAGTAAACAGAGGTGTGAGACAAAGCAATAGTAATAACGAAGAACAATATAGTTTCATTTGAAATCACAAGTCACAAGGAGTGGATGCATCTGCGCCATTGAGAACGATTTTGAGCCATGTCACCAATTGTTTCCAACCATTGGTTCCCGAGGACCCCAACCAGGAAGCCAGTCTACACCTTCCTACGTGGCTTAGACTAACTGTTGAAGATTTCATTGACTAGTGCCATGTTTTGGTTTAACCGCCACTAGCTCTTCTCCAGCCTGACCCTATATCAGCTAACATCGCCCGTCGAGGAAGGTGATGACTGGGAATACGGAACACATGTCCTAACCACCTCAGGTGATGTTATTTCACAGCCCCGTCGATTGATTTCCCTTCCTAACCTAGAACTCGGCCGACGCCTAACCTCAATATAGCTCACCCTATTATACCACTTCACACGGAGGATAGAACGCAGGCACCTATGATCAAAGACAGCTAATCTTTTCATGTCTTTCACTCTCAATGGCCAGGTCTCACTAGCAGCCATAAAGGAGGACGCAGCGGCCTGATGAGCAGTACACCCGCCCTTTGGTCGATAGTCGGATACCACGCCTACACCAGTGACGGCGTAAACTGGCAAATGCGAGACGAGCCCCCTGTATTCGTGCTGAGATTTCGTCAGAGATCAACCCGTTGGGGCTGATGGTACTTCCCAAGTTAGTGAAGCGGTCAACATGCTCTACCACTTCACTTCCTATTTCTAGTCTAGGAGTCGGTGTAGTCCAGTCCTGTAACATCATCTCGCATTTGGTAGGAGCGAATCGCATACCAAACACTCGTAAATTGCAGCTCAAGTTGTTCAAAAGACTCTGCATTTTGTCAGCGTCCTCACCTAAAAGGACTATATCGTCTGCATATTCTAAGTCAACGAGATTATTCCATGGTAGCAAGTCAATCTCTGAGTCTCTGAAGTGAGTTAGGGTTAAGTCCATTTGTACATCTATGATGAAGTTGAATAGAAATGAGGATAATGGGCATCCTTGACGGACATCACTAGTCGTCACCACTTCAGATGACAACTCGCCGTAAGCCCTCACCTGGCTGCATGAGTTCGAGTAGAGTGCCTTAATCAGTGCAATGTATTTTCTCGGCATTCGCTTTACAGCCAGGCATCGCCAGAGAGCCTCTCACAACATAATTTACAACAGACATGTGTAGTATCTTCCTTGTTTATAGTTGTCCAGAAAATGCAAGTTCACTTAATGAAATTTATTTTGGAAGGAGAAAGTAGAATCTGCACCACTGATAATGAACAGGTAAGTTCATACATTATGACTTTTTAAATCCACACTTAACGTAAAAAACAACAGAACTACTCTTTGTTTGTGTATGAGTTCCTTCTAGACATTCTGAAGAAACGACAAAAAATATTGTATCTACATGTGCTTTGAAAGTTTGATAAACAGAGGTAACAACGAAGCATAAAAAATCCAGAAAATCTACTACTAAACAACGTTTCTTGCATTTTCTCGATTCACAGTAATGTTACTTAAAAAGGTATGGATTATGCAACTGATATATGTGCAAACTGAATTTATCAGTTTTTAATGGGTGTTATACAGTTAATGGACTTCGCAAGTGAAATATATTTCTGTCGAGATCTATTCTTAGTTATTTGTTTGGCCACCTACAGCAAAGTGAGTCCTTTCAATGATAGAATAATATGCACTTACCAATTGTACAAAACTAGGCCAAGAAGCATCCCATAGTCATCATTTATGTTGATGAATGACAGCTGTAATTTTCTTCATAAATGACTAGTAAATCCCTTTTGTTGAGAAATTTCTAGATATTCCCTGTGTTGATATATTTTTCCTTAGGAACGAAGAGACAGGTTTGTTTGGCTCTTCAAAGTTACTTTTCTCTAGGGTTTCTCAATTTCGCAAATTCTGAGCTGTAACAAATGTGTAGTTTACATACATCACGAAACACAGAAGGTTCAGCCATCTCATTCTATAAATACGTACAGTTCACTTGAACGAATGTGTTAGGAAGAAAACTACATAGGCATAAAATAAAGGGGTGATCGATTTCAGGTTGAAAAACAACTAACTACTTACATATGCATATTAGTAGCTTCATTTTCGGAGCAAAATTTATTTCTGATTGGAAACAGACGTTAGAGATCCCTAAGTGACCCCAAATTTAACCTGAAATGCTTTGTTTCTGCTAACAAGGCTTCATAATGGTCACACAATCTAAAGTTTAAAGGATACAAATGCTTTCTTCAAAATCCCCATAATTATGAGTTATAAATGGCAGTAACCTTCACAAAGCTTACTTGGAAGTAGACCATTTCACTGAGTAATATATGACCATATGGTGAGATTTCGGAATAATGGCACTTTTCCCAGCTATCGTATCAGAACGAGACGGATAAGCAGCTTCCCAAGCACAAAGCGGCTCAATTCTACATTCATTACGAAAATCTGTGTGTAGACCCAATTCCTCCGTTAGCTCACGAAAAGCAGTATCCTTTAATCAATAATAAACAAAATAAATAAGTTTTGAGTTATGCTTCAGGACATGTTTATCAGCAACATTTTTAACGTCCTGATTGTATTGGACACTAAATATTACAAAATTTGAGTAGGATTAAGTTCTAGCTACTCAAACCGACCATAAGTCAACTATGTACAAAGTGGCCGACTATTTTAGACTAAATACCAAGTCGAAATAACATAATAACGTCGATATTAGACACAAGCTGTTACTGAACAACACATGTTAATTGTCTTTAAAATATATATCCCAAAACAGTTTCAGAAGGATTCAGTTACATAACCACATAAGACCTTGCAAAGTAAACAGTATGTCGATCGATAAATTTCAGAGATGCCTTATTAATCAACAAAGGAATTTTAGTAGACCAAATGTTCTAGTTATTTTGACACTAATGTTTCACAATGCATAAGTTACGGATTGAAAGGAACTTGACAGCTCTCTAAAGATTTACACCAAGCTATAAGTTGCTCATTGTTTAAGGATTTGACACTCCAAACAGACAGCTACCACCTTGACGGGGTGGTTGGGCTTACACATAAAAATGACCTAAAAGGCTATAGTGACTGGAACAAATGTTCCTGCAAGTTCCACCAAGCCAAGGAGATTTTTAGGATAGACATTAGACTAAATGCAGTTACCGTTAAAGTGTAAGATTTTTCATGCTACATTGTGTGTCTGCGGGCAGTGCTGGGGAGAAGCGATGTAACAGCCGATAGGTGTTTCCCTCAGATGACCAGCACACCGGCTGTGCTGTCTCTCCACTCTGGAGTGAAGACGTTAGAAAATGTCGACCCCAGGAATTGTACATCCAGACATACCCTATGGTGGTCCGTAGACAGCAGTAAGTTACAATACGAAATCAAACCATAAGATGTGTGTGACCAGTATGAATCAGTTGTCCATTGAGATCTGCAGTCAAGAAACACCAGTACCATCTCCCTTTCCAGGTAACACGGTAAAAAATCAACTCCAACGGTGTGGTAAGCTGGCAAGTATCAACCGACAACAGACTTACAAAAGCACACCAAAACCATCCTGATCATCATTCTCCTTCAATCACGTTACCCTCATCATCTTCGTTCCCTACTACTGTTGGTACTATTCTGCGAGCTAGTCAGTTATCTTCACCAACGTTGGACTTAAACTGACTGCATGGCGACAGACCATCGTTGGCGGGGGTCAGCAGAAGACCACCACCCCTTCTGGAACATGCGCGTAGGCTCCGATCACGTCTTGGTTCGCCCACGTTACACTTACGATTAGAGGAACAAAAAATGTTCGAAGTGAAGCAGTTACGCCCCTGGCTAGATCAAGACACTCAATCCGTATATTTAAAGAGGAAATAACGAAACGAGTATCCGAGGTCTTCCTGAGGAAGCCTGGCACAATGTGCAGTTAGCTGTAGACATATCTGTAGAGCCTGTTAATGGCCTACAGACAAAAAGTTAGTAAGAGCCAATGGATTTCTGCTACCTCATCCGAACTGATTAGTTCAAAAAGACTGATTTCGGTGAAAGCGAAATTAGTTAAGGAAAACATGTTAGACTAAATAAGCACTGCTGTAGTTTGAAGCCATAATTATTTTTATATGAGTATTTTTTAATGAATCCTTGTGGAAATAATGAGACATTTAGTCTTCATTATAATAAGTTTTTGTATTTACTAGTAAATGAAAAATGAAATATTGTTTTTACTGGCTTTTCGCTATTTAGTTCTAATAGCTTCAAAGTATTATTAAACCAGAATTTACAAAGTCTCAGCTTATATATAACAACTTAATCATCGTTCCTCAGCATGGGGTCATTTTTGCGTTGACAAGTTGGCCATTTGGTAAAGACAACAAAACCAGGTGTAAATTGCTGGATTTGATAATTGTATAAAATTATAAAAGCAGCGAGTGTTTACATAATGAAATTGCTTATCACATTCGTGTTGATTTTGTCATTTCATGGGAAAGTTATGAACATATTACTTAATGCATGCTACTTCAGACACATTACCTATGTACACCTACGCACACAACATAAAAAACAAACCTGTATAGGTTCGCCAGCCTCACAATGACCACCGGGTGGTACCCAAACTCCTGGATAAGATCGCATATGCCAAGGTCTGCGAGTGAGAAACAAACCATCTTGTCCTGCGATATGCAAAAGGCAGGCACACGCTACAGGGATCCACTTGCGACCTGAAGATAGCAAATCAGCATCCGTAAAACGCCGATTACGAGCAGCGAAAGGACACACATAAGGTCTCTAAAAAAATATTGTTATAAGGAAGTCATTCAGCTACTTTTCGTGCCAACTGATACTCATGAGAGCAAAAACAATCAGTTAGAAATTTACTATTGAACTGAAACTTCGAAGCGTATGTACATTCATTTAGAAGCACGCGATTTCGAATGGCAAATAGAACTACAATATATTATATCAACACAAGATCCGGGATTAAATAATACATAATAGCATGCAAATCATAAAAAAAATAACCAGTGAAAATGAAAATATTAGATTGAAATGAACAAAAATTTCAACAAAGATATCTTTTCGGCCATTTCATTCTCAAAAGCTGTACAATCGAATATATAGATTAGTTTACACGGATACAATTATTATTTGTTTAATTTCACACAGTAACGAAGGTGATAATAATTTTTAACTTGATATGAAAGTTTGAAGGTACGAATATAGATTATAGATTACAAGGGAGTTAGAGACAAGATCGAATAGGATTAGAAAACAGTTACAATGTATGCAAAATTAATATTTGATAACTGGAGAAATGATTTTAAAGGTGAATAAAAGGTGACAATTATTTTCAACTTGATATGAATTACAAGAGGCTCAGAAACAAAAATTACGCAGCGATAGGACGAATTACAGATGTGAACAAAATGAGCATGGAAACAAATTGAAATCAAAATTCTTTCAACTTGAAATCTTCGTTAGGAGGTGTCAACATAGATTACAAGAGGCATAGAAACAAAAAATTACATAGGATTAGAATATAACTGTAAAATGGTTATTCTAAACGGATTACAACTGTGATCAGGAGGAGCATGGAAACAAACTTAAATTAACTGGTTTTATAACTGAAAAAATAGGATGAACTGAATGAAGCCAAAGAGAGAAAATTACATACACACAGATAACAAAACAACAACAAAAAAGTAGGATAAGGGAACATACCGAACTAGGTAGTTGTGGGGGTTGGACTAGTTTCATTTGAACACATAGCTCCGGCTTTTCGATGCATATGGCCAGAGCTTCTGTAGTAAAAAGAAGTCGGAAACGCACTGCCTTTGGTAGATTTTTGTTCACTTTGTAAATGACTTTAAATGATGAGTCAGTTGAGATTCTGTGACAGGTGCCCGACCAAAAGCTGCTACCTTGACGTGGTGGTCAGGCTTGAACATCGCAATGACCAAACAAGCTATGCTGGCTAAGACTTATGTCTCTTGAGGTCCTACCATGCCAGAAAGGTTGTTTAGATAGCGGTTAGACAAAAAGCAGCTACCCAATCCAATACTATGATACTAACAAACTCACAAAATATCATGCCGGATCGGTTGGGGCCCGGATTAACAACGACTGCGCTTCCTGCTGCCGTGTCACGGGGCAGAAGTGATAAATATGCTACTGAGATACACCAAACAAAAAAGGACAAACAAAAACAGGCCGCGTGAGACCGGCATCAAGCAGTTGTCCCCTGCGGTCACGCAGTCAACTTCCACGGTGTGGGCAGCCGGAAAGTAACAGTCGCCCTCACAATCCGAAATGCACACGAAACCTTATAATTTTGAAACCCTATTAATTCTCTCCACTCATCTTCTTGTCTACCTTTGTGTGTTATTTGGAACGTGGCAACTCGAACTGCTGAACTTCGGTGCCAAATTCTATGTTGATTCCAGACAGATTGTGACAGGCATAGCGCAATAACTGAACACCTGATCACAGTTGTAATCCGTTTAGAATAACCATTTTACAGTTATATTCTAATCCTATGTAATTTTTTGTTTCTATGCCTCTTGTAATCTATGTTGACACCTCCTAACGAAGATTTCAAGTTGAAAGAATTTTGATTTCAATTTGTTTCCATGCTCATTTTGTTCACATCTGTAATTCGTCCTATTGCTGCGTAATTTTTGTTTCTGAGCCTCTTGTAATTCATATCAAGTTGAAAATAATTGTCACCTTTTATTCACCTTTAAAATCATTTCTCCAGTTATCAAATATTAATTTTGCATACATTGTAACTGTTTTCTAATCCTATTCGATCTTGTCTCTAACCCCCTTGTAATCTATAATCTATATTCGTACCTTCAAACTTTCATATCAAGTTAAAAATTATTATCACCTTCGTTACTGTGTGAAATTAAACAAATAATAATTGTATCCGTGTAAACTAATCTATATATTCGATTGTACAGCTTTTGAGAATGAAATGGCCGAAAAGATATCTTTGGTGAAATTTTTGTGTATTTCAATCAAATGTTCCAATGGGTATTTTCCACGATTTGTAAAAATGAAGGCAGTATCACCAAAGGTTTTAGAACGTATTAACAGGAGGAGAAAAAAGTGAAAGACGAATAAAAAGTGGTATAACTAAGATAATAAATTACAGATGCATCTACACTGCTGTAGTGAATCTTAAACTACTCTCGAAAGAAAGTCTTTTCCGACCATCTACAACGTTAATTAGTAAGGGGGAGATGACTTTCAACAGTGGCTATTGGTCAGGTCAATGTGGAATTACGTAACTAGGAAATTAGGCAGTTAAGCGCATTAGATCTTGTACTTCACAATATTGGAACTAAACAGGAGTAAATAACTAAATTCATTCACGCTGTTAATATTCAGATACTTATAAGCACAGGTAAATTTAAATTATACTCTCCGAATGTGGTAACGGAGTAACTACGTGGTTACCAAATAAAACGACGATTCTCTCAATCAACAAAACCCAAGAATTTAAAAGTTCAGTAAGATTATGAAGCAGGAGAACATATACGTATCGCATGCCAAATCCGTGCAAATACCTTTAATCCACATTAGTCGCATATATTTCCGTTGGCTCAATTCCACAGAATTAGTGAAAATTAGTGGCAAACTCCACCAATTACTGAAAATAGTAACCAAAGTTTGTCTTACGTTGCCGAAAGGATCCTATACATTAGTCCCTTCATTAAACGTCCGGTAAAGTATCACGAAGTTTGCTAGATTATACATTTTGCACAATATGAATGCATCAGTAAAAGAAGTGTGCCACTTATATGAATATTACTGATGTACTGTAATGAATATAACTACAGTTGTTAGTGAAAAGTAGTGACAGTACAAATCATATCCCACTTCCTCTACGTCCAAAAAAGTAGCATTGGGTAGGTAATACATGAGCGAAATTTCCCTGCAACCAAAATTATGCATTCTAGTCTATCATTTTTTCTCGTCTGTGGAGGTGATAATGAAACACCTTTCTAGTATTTAATGTCAAAAACTGACCGTCTATAGCTTTCTAAAATAATATGGAAAAAATCATCTAAAAAGATAATGGAAAGGTGAAGCAATATGGAGCCTAGGACGAAAGTTTATGACTCAGGGTGCTAATATTGCAACAAAGAGAAGCTGACAGACAAACAAATACATATAGATCTACACGAATTCCCGGAACCTAGGAATGAATGAAAATGATCATTTGTACTGGGAGGTTTTTTATCTCATAACAGTGGTTCTTGATACTTTAAAGTTGCCAAACAGGCAAATTTAATAAATTCCTTTGAGTGACCACCTCTTACCTAATTCTATTTGGTTTACGGCTCAACACAACATACTTTGGTCAAGATGTCCAACCTCTTAGCGATACTCCGAAATAAGGTAAAGTTTACTTCAGGTACTAACAAAACTCAGAGAGAGTTTCACTAAGAAGTATATGACAAAAAAGGCAACAGAAACGGTTTGCTTTAGTCCTGCAAATACACAAATTACACCGTTAACAATGACTTGAAGTACACTACTAACTTTCCCTAGTTTACTACCTCGCTAGTTTTTTATCCGGTCCTACGACCGGGAATAGAGGCAGGATTGGGCGGGCAACCAATAAAACTGCTAAAAAAAATTCAATGCACAAAAAAATTAAAAATATAAATAAACTTATTCTTCGCTCGAATAGCAGAGGCGAAATGAGACAGCGGGTAAAGAGGGAGGGTTGCGCGTAGGGCTAGCGACACTTCACCACAAAAGCTATCAAACTGCCAGACAAACTTAAACGCTTAAAAAATACGTTAAAAATACAAAAATTCAAATAACAACCATATTCTTCGCTGGAATCAGAGAGGCGAAATGAGACAGCGGGCTGGTTAAAGCCTTCGGTAAGCCGGTCAGCCAATCATTGTGTTTTCTCTCGATGAGAGAAAGAATAAGAATGGGTACGTGGAATGTCCTTACAACATACAACTGCCCAAGTGGCCAACGAAATGCGAAGATATGGCCTAGAATTTGCAATTGATAGTGTTCTCTGAGCTGCTGGGTTTAATTGCGGAGCTTTCATCGTCTTTCTGGACGACATCTTCGGCGCAGTATTTAGGATAAAGTGAAATGATTTAAATTTCTTCATGAGTCTCCCCGTAACCATCTTTAGATATGTATTGACCGTTTTCTATTGATTGGGATTTTACACTTTCTGATCACCTGATTTACTTTTTGTCAGTTGGTATATTTCATCTACATTAACCTGTTTATTCATTGCGTTTTCATTTGAGTAACAGGCTTCTAGGAATTCCCTGGCACATTTGGTGTTTCCTCTGCTTAAGATTTTGACACTATCCCAATCAAATCATCCACCTGAGTTACAAATCATTTCTATTATGGCCTAGAAGTGTTGGATATCTGCGAAAGTAGATGAAACGGATGTGGATTATCCAAATTGTCAACTGGAGAGTCACTAGTCTACTCCAGTTTGGTCACCCAGACAACAACCACAAGCACACTGAGGCAATGAGTAGCTATCATGATATCACCAACAGCAGTTAAAGCTCTGATTCAGTGAGAACCGGTCACCTCCCGCAGGATTATGACAGCAAGATTCAATTCAAAAGGAAGGAAGATTACAATCATCCAATGCTACTCACTGTGCTACAAACAACGCAAAACAAGAGAAGCCAGAGGTTCACAGAAAACCACAAACAGTAATGGACGACGTCCCAAATACTGACATCAAAATACTCATGGACGATATGAACGCCAGCCGAAATGGGAGCAGATAATACAGGAACAGAACTCATCATGGGTCGAGAGGCCATCGGAGAGGTGGACGATAATCAATGACTCTTTGCAGACTTCTGTGCATTCAGTCATTTGGTTATCAGTGTTAGCGTGTACAAACACAAGGATATACACAAAGCAACATGGATTTCGCCTGACGGATCCACTGAAAACCAGACAGACTTCATCTGACTGCTACTCAAGGAAGCGGAGACGCAGCCAGTCTGCTGGACACAAAGTCGAGAAAGCGAGCAGTTGTAGGATCAGACCACCATCGGGTTCAAGGTCAAGCTAAAATCCCCTAAAGTAACTGGAGACAGACCAGCGTAATTCAAGTTCAACATTCAGAAACTGAAGGACAAAACTACAAGGGACACCTTCACCATAGATCGGATCACAGCAAAGTCAAATACACGTAGTGGCGTCACTGAGGTAACTTGTCTGGTAGAACACTGGAACTCTCTGGAGGTGACGTTCAATCAGGCGTATACAACCGTTCTAGAAGGAAAGAAAAGTCGAGATAAGGAATGGCTCTCAAGGGACACCCACCTGGAAGCTAATAAAAGAGAGGGGAGGAGAATGGTTGAAGAGAATGAGTCAAAGGAAAGATAGACAGGAGAAGGAGAAGTCGAGTTCAATGTACACTGCAGAGTACAGAAGTGAAGAAGAGTGCTAGTAAAGACAAAAGACAATTCTACGACACACTGGCTGGCAAATGAAGCACGACAGACAGGATGCAGGTAAAAGAGACCTATGAACATTATATCATATAACCAAGTGCCTATCGGGGAAGAGATCAACCCAGAAGATGAAACAAATAAAAGATGTTTATGGCTATCAACTTCTTAAAGGCCTTCGACAGACAGCGTTGACCGGGAAATAATTTGGAAACTACTTCAATATCACGGCCTGTATCAAGTCTTTATCAACCTCATTCCACAGCTTTATAACGATGGCATGTATCAGGTGATCCACAACGGAAAATTCAGAGAGGCGTTCAAAGTAAACACAGGAGTAATATAAGGACACCTATAACTAACACCGATGATATTCCTAATTGCGGTGAACTGGATTATGTGGCACACCATATGTGTGCGTTGAGAAAACATGAATGCGCAAGACCACCAATAAGAAGACTCCAGCAGATCTGAATGTCACAAATGATTTATGTTTGATGTCACACAAGCTCGAAAACTTGGTGGAAACCAACAAACTGACTACAACAGCAGGCAGAGAATATAGGACTGAAGTGATGAAGATAATCAGCCAAAAAGCCAACCACAGCTAGCGAAAATCAGCATCATCGGGAGAAATTCGGAAGTGATCACTTCCTTCTTTCGCTCATCTAGAAAACATTATATTAACCACGATTGCAGATGTCAAAACAAGAATCGGAAAGTCAAGATACGCCTCTATCAATGTGATGTCAATTTGGAAATCTCCTGCACTCAGCATCAAGAACAAGATTCGAATATTCAGTACAAAGGTCGAGTAAGTTCTACATGTGTCAGAAACTTGACACGAGATTCGCGAAAAGCATTTCCAGCAAGTTACAGACTCTTATCAACAATCACCTTCGCTGGCTCTATACTGAAGATTAAATGTCCAACCAGAAAGAACTGGCAACAAACCAACGAAGAGCCGATTGCTAGAGAAATGTGCGTCGGTGGCACAGTGGTTAGGACTCTCGCCAACCATGCACATGGTCCTGGGTTCGAGCCCACACCGACGCACACCTGATATCTATGGTCGGCTTGCAAAATTTGGGCTACCGATATCCATGCTGAAAATTCCATACTTGTACCGAAAATACAGTGCGGAATCAAGCTGTAAATCAAAAATATGTAAAAGAAAGTGGCAATGCATTGGACACACGATGTGGAGACCGTCGTATGACAATGCGCTCCAGGCCGAGTGGGAAACGACTTGTGAGTTTTCCTTGTGTGACATGGAGGTCGTGTGGAGAGAAGAGGGGAGATAATAGGCAATCATCGGCCCAGATGAATGGAACAACAGAAAATACAAAAATGGAGCCGTTTTGTTAAAGCTCCATGTTCTACTGGAAACCCACAGGAAAAATAATAGGATAATAAATAATAACGTAGACTAACTCGGAAACGTAGATTTGTCCCACTTAGTCCACGACTAGTGTTTTCGACAATCAAATCACCTGAATTTTGTCTGATATCCACAGCCGCCTCATCCTCCAAACCCAAACCATCTATTATTGACTTTTTCAAGTAGGAAACATTAGCTAAATACCTCTCCAAATTCCAGCCGTCTGTGCAGATTTGAAGAATACACGTAAACCATGTTGCTAAGCTTTTCGATCTGGCTTGAAATTATTCGAGTCGCTGACTTCAGAAAGCATACGTTAAGGAAAAGCATTACCAGGATCCCTTTGTATCATGTGGTAGGTTTCTCATACGTATGTACGTACAGTGCGCTGTAAGCTGGTAGCGGAAGAAATCCTAAGAGCGACAGGAAAAGAAAAATAAACAAAAACCCAACTAGGGAAAATGACAGAAACCACAAAGCCTTACTTATTGTGGACACACAACTACTTACCAGGAAGATGTGGATAATAAAACAAATTAAAATAAATGATATCAGCTATAAATCTATCCCTAGTCGTAACCATAGGCTTAATTCTGAACCTAACACCAAACCTAACCTTAATCCTAATCATAACCCTTATTCAAACCGTAGTCCTAACCCTAATGCTAATTATAACCCTGATCCTAACCCTAACCCAAATACTTAACCCTAATCCTAATCCTAACGAGTTATTAACACATTGTCCAAACAGTACTTAAAATCGTGATCTGCGTGAAATTTGCTCTTAAGTTGGTGAATAGCATTGATATTTCTGCAATAATAACAGACACCATTAGCCAACGAGCACCATGCGTTCAACGTCATTGGAGTGTTCACACTTGAAGGAAACTATTGTTCAACTTAGCCCGAATGGAAATACAGCACTAACTGTAATGGGACAAAAACTAGTATAAAACCACTAAATAAGTTTTTCTTTTCTCTTTTGCAGAAACGAATGCTGGCGTAAACTCACTGGAGCAAGAAGAGGATCGTTTAGCCGGACTTTTTCTAACTGATGATAAGTAAACTGTACCCGCACACTTAAAAAGTCTATCTTAGTCACAATACACGTCTCTCACGGCACTCCGCGTTTTTCCTTCTCCGTCTGTGACTGTGCGTGATTGTCTGTTACAAATGGTGTCGGAGGTGGAATGTTCTGCAGTCAACATGGAAACATCAATAGATTATGGCCTCCCCAAGCTGTTCCCAGAAGGAAGTGAAATCACCAAGCCCACTGTGCCTACGCTGCCTCGTCCTCCAACGCTGCAAATGTCATCAGACTACCCCCGATGGAAGAAACGTATCCAGGCATTCCTCAGCATCTCTCCACCAGCCCACCACCTCTATGTTCTCAATGCCCTATCCAAGGATGCTTTCGCACGTGCCGATGCTGCCGGGTTCAGCAGCACAAAATCCATGACTGAAAACTGACAAATTCTTGACAACTGCTTCGATCTCAAATTGGGCTCCGAGCATGCCCTACTAAAATTCTTCAGTCGTAGACTACTACTCGGGAAAAGTCCCCTAGATTACTCCCATGCCCTACAACTAATGGCAGCTGGCGTAAACGATGACGCAGACTCCAACCACAGAAACCGCCTGGTGAGGACACGTTTCATCGAAGGGGTCTTGCCCGGCGACCTCCGAACGGACCTACTGCGACACCCTCCCATGAGCACAATGGAACTACAGTGTATCATTTTGCTGTTTATGGACGCCGAGCGAGATACTGTAGCATCAGCCAGCAGCTCCGTCTGCCCAATCCCAACGGCATCGACTGCAGCTGCACTTACCACCGTTGCTCGCAACACAACGCGGTCCCAGAGGCGCCCAAATGCAGATACCACCCCCAGCTGGGGGTCCTCCGGGTCCACCGAGGAGGAAACAATGGAAGCGATTGTAAAAGCCACCAAAAATTGGGGCCATCACCAGCGTGTTCGGAAAAAAATGGATTTATTACCAAAAGAAGTAGTTTTTAATGAAAAAGTGTTACCAGTTTTTATGCACTTAATGGTTATTGACGCGTATTTAAATGATTCTCTCTTTCCTTCATTACAGATGTGTGCTGAAGTCATTCAACCTGGGACCAGGAAATCCCCGTCTTCAGAATAATTTATGAAGTCATTTTGTAAACTTTTTCATCTGACTACTATTTTTATAAATCCGATATTTTACTGTATGGAATATAAAATTACTTCACTCCGTTGGCCTTGGTTTATATCAGTAGCATAACCATTGAATGTAGTGAAAGAATCGCAAGACAGTGGTCGCTTAGCTTGTAACTTTGGTAAGTTCGATTGAATTACCCAGTCGGTTAATGCACCTGAGCAATGCGGCCAAAACATGGGCTAAATGGGTAATTTTGATCGGCAAACAGGTGGTGTAAATGCAACAGATTTTACCCACTTTTACCCTGTTTGACCATGTCCAGATAAAAAATTTTTGTCCCACTTATTCCCAGTTTTCCCACGTGACCCACGTTTTCACTCACTTATCCCATGTACCGAAATTCAAAATATACCCACTTTTTCACCGTTTGCCCATGTCATTTTGGAAAATAGCCCATTTATTCCCACTTTACCCATGTTACAAACGAAAACAGCCCACCTTATCCCACTTCGGCCACATTTGAACGGAAAACTGCCCACGTTTTTACCCACATATCCCAGGTCCAAAAAGAAGTAACCGACTGGGTGGGTAGTTACTTTAGTAACTAATGCAATCGAAGGATGACAATGTGTAAGCACTTCCTTAGGCAACTGGTAGGACGCTAATTAATTCTAATAGTACGTGCGCTTGGATAAGAAAAATGAGGGCCTTTTTTCGTCACGAGAATAGCAGTAGTGGATGAACAGGTCCTTTAAAAAGTGGGTAAACTGTTCGTTGAAAACGTGGGCAAACGGAGCAAAAAAGGGTACATTTTCAACTCCTGCACAGAGGATAAGTGGGTGAAAACGTGGGTCACGTGGGACCCAAAATTGTTTACGGACATGGGAAAATGGGGAAAAAGTGGCCAATGTGGGTAAAGTCGGTTGCATTTACACCATCTTTTGCCGATCAAAGTTACCCTTTTATCCCACGTTTTGCCTACATTGCTCATGTGCATTAACCGACTGGGAGCCTTTGCTATTGTTGCCAACGTTACGGAAAGAAGGCTCGCAAGCGTGGCCACAACCGTCCTCGAGAAAATTGTAAGTCACTTTTTTACGATTGGTCTACTTTTTCATGTAATAAGAAACCCCTAACTGTTTGGGGACTTGTCAATGGTGTGCGAGCTAAGATCTTACTGTGTGTGTGCGGGTGCAAGTTACTTATCATCAGTTAGAACAAGTTCGGCTAAACAATCCTCTTCTTGCTCTAGTGAGTTTACACCAGCATTTGTTTCTGCAAAAGAGAAAAGAAAAACTTATTTAGTGGTTTTATACTAGTTTTTGTCCCGTTACATAACCTTGACGTACCGCTGCAGTTACTAATGCCCGCGACCTGATTTCCAGTGGCTACTTCCAATATCCAATTTCGTTTTTACGAGCTAGTATTAACCAATTCGATTTCTTTCTTCTCGCCTCTTGATTGTGAGCTACAGGTTCCGGATCTTTGGTAAGCTTATGCGTGGCTCGTCCCACCAATACTCTGTTGTAGCTTTGGTTGACTCATAAAGGAGTAGTGCTGGGATTAATTATGTGTGGTTTGTAGTATGAGGTGCGTTAAGACTGTTCCTACTGTGAAAGGAAATGGTCCTTTTACCTTTTAGTTCTCCACTATCGTCGTCAAAAGAAAAGAGATAATTAGAATAATGATAGATATAATTTGTGAAGTTGTTCAGACTAACGGACAAAGTTAGAGCTATGTGCTCAAAAGAAGTAATTGAATATGAATTAAGTATTGTATATGATACTTTGATAGAAAATGGCTATCCCGGCAAGTTTATCAAGAAGCACATGACAAAGAAAGCGGAAAAGGACTACTCACTATCCGTAAACAAGAAGATTTTATACATACGACTGCAATTCAAGGGGCGATATTCCACGCGAAATAATTACGAGGAAATTAAGAAAATCTGTTTAAAGAACTTTTAATGCTGGCGAACTACACGTATTATTCTCTACACGAGCGATGGTGATTTCTCGATTGGAAGATGTAGTACCTAGACTAGTTACTTTCAGTTGTACCTACTGATTCAGCTGCGCTTGTGGAGCGAGTTATACCGGCCATTGCTTTAGGAACTTGATTTTTCGAGCTCGAAAACATATCCCACTATGACTAAGTAAGGGTGTAATGAAAACCAATAACAGCTCGATATTGGACCATCTTGTTCAAACCGGCCACAAAACCAGCGTAGAAGAATCCTTCTCAATAATATACCGGGTGCCTAATAAACTGCCAAGAACATCGAAGCACCTCATGCTCCAAACAGCAGAGGCTATAGCAATTCGCATGAAACAACTAGCGCTCTGTGTCCAAAAGTAGCAAGTCCAGCCCCTACTGCTGTCCTGGCCTTCAGTAGAGACTATGAATTCATGAATTTTTAATATTATCTTTCCTAATTCTTCTGACATTCAGCTTATTTTATGTTGATGTGAATCAGCTGTAATCTATCAATACTATTGATTCGATGTTATTTAAACATTACGGTCGTTCATAACACTAACTCATTCACTATAATGTATATGTAACTGTGGAACCTGATGATGAATTTAAAGAAAAGAGTACTCCTTATTCAGTATCCATTCTTTTGAAAATAAAGAAAACGTAACAACAGTCAGCTGATCAAATTTGAAGTTGATATACTTATAAGTTATAATAATAAGAGTAGTAAGAGTCGACAGGAGAGTAGGACGGGAGAGAATGTAAAGAAGTAAAACGGTGAGCTGAGTTGGCTACCCCATAATGATGTGTGGTATTTTAAGGGGGATAGGCCATTAGGACGCAGTTTTTGCGTCTCTGCATGACTGTCCAGGCTTTGCTTTAGGATGTTCACAGGCGGCGCCATAGCAACATCTGCCGGTAAGGAACCCCAGGGACGGCAAACCCGCAGAGAAAAGAAATGGGAGTTCACTCGGGTTCTTTCCCTCTTGTAAGCTATCCTTCTGGGATTTCCACGAGGAAGCCTTTACCTACTCAATTGCAGAAAACCTTGGTTTGGGTGATTCTGATCATTAGTTATCCTGTAGGCAGTAATCAAATCCCCTCCGAGTCGACGGTAGCTAAGTGTGAATAGGCCTAATTTCTACAGCCTTTCATCAAATCGTTTGTTTCGGAGACCAACCACTCATTTTGTTGCCCGCCGTTGG